GAAAGTGACATTAGAATTTAAACTTAACATCAATTTGCTGGATTTGAATGCATTCCAGTATGAATCTCCAACTTTGAAAAAAGGGGTAACCATAAAATATATCTATAAAATGTTGTAGATAATGGAACTTATGAAGCTGGTGTACCTGATACAAGAGGAAAGAAGAGAAACTTCAACGATGACGGAAGCACTTAGTTATGGCTATCATTTTAAATCTATTTCTCAGAAAGAAAAACATACACACACAACAAAATAAGATGAAGAACATCAGGTTTGACAAGTTTATTTGTGGAGAAATCATGTCAGCGTTTGGCATGTTAAATGCTTCAAAATCAAAATTGTGTATTCCAGGATTGGCTATTAAACAGGCTGAGTACAGATAGAACTTTTTGGATTTGGACAATGCAGGAGGAAGGGAAAAATGAAAAGGAATTACCAAAATAGAAGTTGAGTAAAAATAACGCAAAAACTAATTGGAAGCATAAGAGTCATAGGTACTTTGGGAATAAGAGAAATAAAGGATGTCCTTTAGGGGAGAAAAACAAATCAGAATATTCAATTTAATGACATTTGCCTTTGAAGCCAGTAAGGGTCACTTAGCCCTGAGGACAATGTCCTAGTACCCAAAAGAAGCTGCTCTACTGAGAAGCCTTCCTAGAGTCCCCTTCATATCTTTGTTTCTTAGACTGTAGATGAAGGGATTCAGCATGGGTGTGACCAAGGTGTACATCAGCGTGGCTATTAAGTTTCTTTGGGAAGAACTGAAGTATACCCCAAGACATGACCCGTAGAACAGGGATACAACAGAGAGGTGAGACCCACAAGTAGAAAATGCTTTATACTTGCTCCGAGCAGAAGACATTCTCATTAAGGAGGAGACAATCTGAGAATAAGAGTAGAGGATTCCAGTGATGGGAAACACACCCAGCAGACCAGTGGCCACAAACACGAAGATGTTATTGAGGAGGGTATCTGAGCAGGCTACCTTCAGAATCTGAGCCAGATCACAGAAGAAATTAGAAATTTCTGTCTCTTTACAGAAAGTCAGCCGCATCATCAGTAAAGTATGAAGCAGAGAGAACCAGAAAATGATGACCCAAGACATCAAAACTAATAAACCACAGAGTC